AAAATATTATTTGTTTATATTTAGAACATGAATTTGCTTTCGGATGCTCGTTCTGCCAGAATGTACCGAGATGAATTAGATGCACTTCGAGAGAAGGCAGTCAGAGTTGATAAGCTTGAAAGTGAAGTCAGCAGATACAAAGAGAGACTACATGATATTGAATTTTATAAGGCAAGAGTTGAGGTATGTTGCATAATTAACCATTCATGATATTTTTTAAATGTGTCATGATTTTTAAAATGCATTTAAAATGCACTTAATAAACATGAGAAGCTCTTGAAATGTTGAAGAAACAATAAATACCCCTGAGTGTTTATGTTATGATAGACCAGCATATTAGACTTTTATGAAGGAATCCTCAATTTTATTGAATTTATTTGGGCACTTCTTTCATTCCATTACTTAGCATCATAGGTAGAGCAGACTTTTGCAGTTTTTCTCTCATACTCAAAGTATTTATCTCTGCTAATCTCAAACTTGTTTCCAGAAGTGAAAGTAAAACATATTTCTGATTGCTCCTTAACTAAGATTACTAAATTAAGATTAATGAAGGCTATATACATACAAACAAATTAGGAAAAAAGCCAACTTTTTTTACTTGATTGAGTTTGACAGCAAGAATTTGGCACTTCTTGTATCCTTTTTTCCTTTCTCAGTTAATTTCCTCATTGTCTGTAAACAGCAGATTTTGGTCAGTTTTAATATGAGTATTACTAAGAACAAGGGAGTACACAAAATCAAGAAATGAAGATAAAAGAGAAAGTAGTTAGAACATTTTAGTGTGCAGGTTACCAATAAATAGACCCAACAGGACTGCAAAGATAAAGTACATATTAATTCTTTACTAGTTATTTAGACATGCATGTGCATGGCACTGTTAAGAGATTTTCAGGAATGCCACTGTCTTAATATACTTTTTCTAGACTTTATAAACCACAGGCATATAACATAGCAAGATAGAATTATGAACACTTAGCTTTGTGCAGTGGCAGTATTGTAGCCAATGAGGTTTATCCGAGGCGCGATTATTGCTAATTGAAAACTTCTCTCAATACCCCGCCAGGACGACTTGCAATATAGTCGGCGTTGGCAATTTTTGACTGTCCCTGT